TTAATTTTCTGTCAAATAACACTTATGTCAATTGAAATATATGTCAAGTGATTTTTATATGAAATAAAATTCAAGTCAATTGTATTATTACGTTAAATGGAAATTATGCTAAATGATTTACAAAAGGTTCGATTTTGTAAAAAATTATAATTAATGTATTTAGTGAAATAAAAACTTTAAAAATAATTCTTGAATTTTTTATCAGTAAATAAAAAATACTTTTCCAATCAAATATATTTTTCAAACATTTAATAATATAAAGCAATTCAGAATATTTTATAAAAATGAATACTGATAAACACAAAAACTTCTTAGCAAATTTTAATTAACTACCAAAAAAATTAAATAATTTATCAACATTCTTTAAATAAATAACTGAATTTAAAATAATTTATCAAAAACCTAAATGATTAACAATTAAATACAAAAAATTTAAATTATTAAATTGTAAATAAAAAAGTTATAAATTTTAAAAGTTAAATAAATTGAGATTCTTAGTGATTCTAAAGTACCTAGATCTTATAGCCTCAGTGTTAAACTCAACATAAAGCATAAGAAATACGTCACACCTCCCTAATACCTGTGGCAACAACGCTGGAGGTGAGTACGTATTGAAATTAACGCGCTTCCAAATATACAACGGAGGTCTCAACGTTCATGTTATACTTACAAAATGTATATTTAAAAAAAATAAAAAATCATTACCCCTCTCTTGAAAAACGTGTTTAATGGGTCCCCCTTAACACATATATACAAAAAAAATTTTGATATTTCCATGGGAAATAGTGGAGGCGAGAACGTAGGACACACTACACGGAGGTGACAGCGCACAGCCTATACATATATATATATATATATATATATATATATATATAAAACCGCTTATACAAGCCCAAAATTTACGTCCACCGAACGTAGCCAAGCCCGAATTGACGTTGCCAGACCCGACTGCGGGTCTGGTAAGGTTTTTCTGTCTATTTCTCGATATTATGTCTATTACTAGGGGGGCTTCGCCCCCCTGCGCGCTTCGCGCGCCAACCCCCTAACTATTTTTAATATTTATTTTAATTTTTAAAATCATGTTATCTTAATATGATGGGATAGTAATGAGTTAGAGTAAATTATAACAGGAGATATTAAAAAAGATAACTAATAGAGAATTCTACTTTACGGAAGTGATTATAGTGTCAACTTTTTCAAGTTTGACACTCCTCATAGTAAATTTGATAATTCTTTTTTCTCAGTGTCAAAAGTATTATTGGGCCCCTTTTTACCTGCAGTTGACATAAATGTTGACGTAATGTAAGGGCCATTAGGGGCTGTCCATAAATTACGTAAGTCATTTTTTGGGTAAATTTGACCCTCTTCCTCCCTCGTAAGATATTTTACATACATTAGCGCCATTTTTCCTATTGTTCGCAAGATCTTGCTGACCCCCTTCCCCCCTAAATGTCTTATGTAATTTATGGACGGACTAAAGATTTCGACGTAAAATAATAGACGTTTGTGGGCTTCATTTTTACCCGTAGGTCAAAACTGACCTTAAAATTGACCTAAATTTTAAGGAAACAGTAGGTCAAAAGGAATTTTCTTGTCAATTTTTGACGTGTAGGTCAAAACTGACCTTAAGATTGATCTAAATTTTAAGAAAATATCAGATCAGAGGGAGATTTCTGGTCAAATTTTAACTTGTAGGAAAAAACTGCCATTAAAGTTAAAGTACATTTTGAGGACAGAAAAATAATTTTAATAGAATTTTAAAAAAAAATATGTCAATTTATAACATCTTTTATTGATTGAAACTTAATATTGAAATTTAGGTCAAACTTCTTTTAACCAATAGGTCGAAAATTCCGTCAAACTTTAATATAAGGGTACGATTTTTTAAAAAATCCTAATTAATTTGCTTTTTTCATGTATAGGCTAAAAAATATGTCAAATTTGACCTAAATTTTAAGGAAAGGTCAGGTCAGAGGAAGTTTTTTCGACAATTTTTGCGGTGTAGATGAAAACTGACCTTAAAATTGACCTAATTTTTTAGGGCAAAGGGAATTGTTCGTCAATTTTTTTCGTTAAGGTCAAAACTGCCCTTAAAATTGACCTACATTTTTAAGGTAAAGGGAATTGTTTGTCAATTTTTTACCTCTAGGTTAAAACTGCCCTTCAAATTAACCTAAATTTTGAGAGCAGAGGGAATTGTTTGTTAATTTTTGACCTGTAGATTAAAACTGCCCTTAAAATTGACCTACATTTTGAGGTCAGAGGAAATTATTTGTAAATTTTTAACGTTTAGGTCAAAACTGCCCTTAAAATTGACCTACATTTTGAGGGCAGAGGCAATAGTTTGTCAATTTTTTACCTGTAGGTTAAATCTGCCCTTAAAATTGACATTAATTGTACGGGCAGAGTAAAACGCAATTTTTAACGCTTAGGTCAAAACTGCCCTTAAAATTGAACTAAATTTTGAAAGCAGAGCGATAAGTTTGTCCATTTTTAACTTTAAGTCATAACTACTCTTAAAATTGACTTAAATTTTGAGGGCAGAGGGGTTAGTTTGTTAGTTTTCTACCTGTAGGTTGAATCTGCCCTTAAAATTGACCTAAATTTTGAGTAATTTTGGCCTGTAGGTTAAAACTGCCCTTAAATTGACCTGAATTTAGGTCAAATATAACTTGTTTCTGACGATGGACCTACCTTGACTGTGGTTAACCTTGACTATGTTCCCCCTACTATAAGGGTCCCTTAAAACTTTCTGAAACAGCGGCGGCGGCGATATGATTTTATATTAATAGGGATAGATAACATTATGTCAAAATATTAGTTGGGCATGATTTGGTGGTCAAACATCATTTTATAGACTTTTATAGTTCAAGCTTTCTAGTCCCTATTAATATTAGTTGGGCATGATTTGGTGGTCAAACATCATTTTATAGACTTTTATAGTTCAAGCTTTCTAGTCCAGGCGCCGCAACTGTCGTTATACCGATACCTAATATAACGTTAGTTGCTACAGATATATAACTACAACTTTACCAGACCCGACATTCGGCAACACTGTAAAGGACTAAATCTTTATTTAGAATTTTAAAATATCCCTTTTTCATACACTACCGGCGGTAATTGTGCGACCCCTACTTTTTTGATGACTATTCAATATCTTTTGACTTGTGAAATAAAGTAACTAAAATTTTTGCCTTTTTATTTTCAATAATCGTATAAAATTCTGCAAAAAATGACTCCTTAACAATAAAAAATATTAATTTTTCAATAAGATATTTAAGAAAAACCTCATTTTCAGTGATTTTACTATTTTTTTATATCTTCCGAAGAAATTAACGTTTTCCAGCGTTCATATGCAAAAAAATTGGATAAATTATAATTACTATTAAGATGCAAAAAAGTAATTAGAAAAATCTGTTATTTCGAAAAAATGTTCAAAGTTTTCGTAAACTTTTGGATTAGGGGAGTGTAAGGTATGGTGGCGGACTTGTCAAATCTGGCATGTAACGTCACATCTGAAGCGCCTTATCACTATGGTCGATGTCTTTTATCGTGATGACATTTTATATGCAGTAGTATTAATGATCAAACGCGTGCTTTGTACTTTAAGTGATTTTGAATAAAAAAGTAGTGAAAAAAAGAAAAAAAGTTTTATTGGATATGTGTGTTAACAGTGCCAGAGTGAAGATTTTTTGAAAATTGAGTCTGGTAAATGTATGGAACGTAATGTTTAGACCTTGGACAACAGTTTTTTGTATTTCACATTTTTCTCAATTCGCGCTGTATGAAAGTAACACCATCATATTTTCATCAATAGCTTGTAAGGTATGATGGCGCAATTCTTGTAACGTACAGTGGCGGATCATTTTTTGCACGAGTTTCAATTGTCTTTGCATTTTTTGTGTATTAATGCCTCATGTACTCCAACGCAACAATTCTCGAATATGTGACACTTGCTGTCTTCTCTTATTCTAGTTGCGTTAAAACAGCCACCAGCTACTTCACATGTCCAAATTGTAACCATAACTGAAGTGAAACTTTTTTTTCTATAATGTAAAATCAACAGTTTTTTCTCTTTTTGTTATTTTTCATCATTTCTAGTAGTTTTAATAAATAATTTTAACATCTACATAATATTTTAGTTAAATACACCAAATGCGCCACCATACCTTACAACTTTCAAAAATAAAAAAAATCAGTTTTTTGCGCCAAGAGCTGTAAAATTTCACTGAATTTAAATTTTAACAGCCGCTTCTGACAGAAATATGCTTAATAGATGTCAGCAACTACCTGCTTTTGAAATTTTGAAAAATATTGTTTTTTGAGAGAGAGAGACGCAAAAAAGAAAGTGTACGCCACCATACCTTACACTCCCCTAGGCATATATTTGATTTTTAAAAATTATTTTTCAGATGTAAAAGTAGGTACCTTCAAAATTTTTATGATTTTTTTTCTATCATTTCCATATTCTAAAGAAATGTACGTAAATAAAATCTTATAAGAAATCTTAATTTTAAAATAAAATACGATTAAAATGAGCCCATGTACGTTGAAAGACGTTTATTCATTTGGAATATATAAAAAAATTAGTCAAATCACTGAAAATGAGGTTTTTCTTAAATATCTTATTGAAAAAGTAATATTTTTTTGTTATTAAGCAGTCATTTTGTGCAGAATTTTATACGTTTATTGAAAATAACATGGAAAATTTTTTAGTTATTTTATTATCCAAGTTAAGAGATATTGAATAGTCATAAAAAAGTAGGGGTAGCACAATTACCACCGGTAGTGTACTTGTCTCTATGAAGCTGTATAATATTTATGTTACTACTTTATTGCTATTTTTTTAAATAAATAAAAGGTTTAGGTTAATTAAATTAAAGTACAATAAATAAGAAAAATACATTTTATTTTTCATAACTTTTACACTTTATGGTGCATATTTTACTTTTTACGATATGAGTTATAAACTAATATTTTTATTCGTGACCAATCAACACCTTTTAATATCTCGCCACTTTCGGCAATCAAAGCAAGACATTCTTCCTTTTTCGGCAATTTTTTTTGTTGAATTTGTTTTTTAAAGTGCTTTAGAATAATTTGTTTCTGCTCTTCGGACCAAGTAACTCTTTTAGAACATTTTTTAATAGGTGAAGCTGTTGTAGGATTTTCCTTATTGGATGTTGAACATAATATTGGTTCTTCATAGAACCGATTGTCTTCGCCTTCTATTTCTTCCTCCGCATTTTCCGTTTCTGGATTATTGAAATCTGAACAAAACTCATTTTCTTCCAACTGAATCTCGTCTAATTTTTTTCCCTTAAATTCGTCTCTTTTTCCTGCATTCAGTAGCAGCAACACTTTGGCAACTTTTGCTGTTTGATAAATGTCTTCGAGCAATCTGAAAAGTCAGTTTTTTTGTTACTTTACAATAAATTAAATGAAATATTTTTGTATACCATAAATATTAGTGTTTTAAAATTTATTATTTATATTTATATTATCTTACCTATAAAACTCCAAATGTGTTTTCTCCGTATGTCCCATGAATTTCGCCATTTGCTCTATTTCGTTTTTCTCAAAATTTAGTAATTGAAGGATTGTTGCAATTTGTTTACGGAATTTTGTGCTAGTGAGGAGTTCCGGATGTTTAGCACCAGACTTTATGGCATATTTTCGAATAATTGAACCACCAATCATCCACCTATCCTTCGATCCAGGTCCAGCAAAAAGGTATTTGTTTGATTTCGGCACAATATTTGTTTCTTTACGAATTTTTAATAAAGCCTCCACAAACATTTGCATTTGTGCAGTAAATAGAATTGGAACAGATTTACTCCCTTTACCAAAGACGACAACTCTTTTAAAGTGTGAACAAAGAGCCTTTTCTAGATTTGTTAAAGTACTAACACTTTCTTGTTGAATAATTCTTCCCGACGATTCTTTGGTATAATTTGCAATTTCTAAGAATTGAACCTCTCCAATTCTTTTTCTGTTAAAAATCAACGTTAATGCTAAAGTGCACTCTGCTAATATTTTGTAGTTTTCTACCTGATTCTCTTTAAGATTAAGTTTTTCAAAAGAATCTTTTGCTGTAGATGTAATGTATGTGTTAAAAGTCTTAACATCTTCTGTCAAAGGAATAATTTTTGGCTTTAAAGAAGTATTCTCATTTAAAACCTTGTTGGCTAAGCTGGAAATGTCACTGCACCAGTGGGACTTTATCATATTGCGCAAATTTTCAATTTCTTCAGTTAACACTTTTATTTCAGTTGATTCAATTTTGGCGAAAAGAGGATCTTTTGTCATTAAAGTTTTATTAGCTATAAGGCACAAATTTTGAAGATTAGTTCCCATGTGGAGAGCTAGAGAAGGTGCTCGAAATGTTCGCGATTCTGAATCAAATCCGCTTATAATTTTTACTGCTGCCACAAATTCATTGTACATATAAGGTTTTAATACTTCAATAAGGTTTTCAAAAGTGATCATGCTTTTCAGTGCAAGTTTCAATCGAGCCATTTCGCGCATCTTATTTGAAGTAATAACGTTCATTTGTATTCTTTTGTGTCTATTAAAGTGAGATTCGCCATAAAGCCAAAGGGGAGCATCTTTTTTCACTGTAAGACTAATCTCATCCGGTTTCATTATATTTAAAACTTCGTCTTTAAGTAGACTTTTATTAAGATAGTTTCCAAGTATCCCGGTTGCAGTTAACATAGTCTGGGATTCTGATAGATGATTCCTAGAACCAAAAGAATTTTCTTTTCGAGAAGAACATATTTTTTTGTGTCTCCACAAGTAAGATTTCGCGAAGTATCCTAAGCAGTGTACACAAGGGGCCGTACACATAATACGTCACGCGGCTAGGGGGAGGGAGGGGGTCTGAGAATTGTGACTAAGTGTGACATGGGGGAGGGGGGGTGAACTTATGTGTTACGTCACGATCTTTTAAATTCAAAGATAATAAGAAATTATATGTGACACTGTCACTTTTTCTAAATAAAACAAGTTAAAAATGGTTTGAACTATTTAATATATATTATGTATCTGTTTAACATCTATTGGCATATTATTTATAATATGATAAATAATATCCCGTGTAGAAATATCGCTATTATGGCCATATTAGGGAATGAAACACACGGCCCGACCTGGGCCAGATCGGGGCGACGATCAAATGTGGATTTCCTGATCAGGGCCATATCGGGCCGTGTGTTTCATTCCCTAATATGGAAGGCCCGATCAGTCCCTGATCCGGACCATAGCGAAATTTCTACACGGGATATTCTCTTAATTTGAATCAGTTAAAAATCATGGTTTTAACTGTCAATCAGCAGTGACTGATTTTTTGCTTCTGAATCAGTTAAAAATAACTGAAAAATTATCCACAAAACACCGAAATTTTTCTAAATATTGTATATTAAAGATTTGCTTGCATAAGTCAAAAAATTTACTTGCAAAGTTTATTTTAAAATTGTGTAAAGATTTAAATTTCTCACTCCAATAAATGTCTATCGTCAAATTTTCTTAAAAATATAACTTGAAACTTTCCTGAACATTTGAATTGCATTTTCGACTATACTTTCGTGAAAATCTTCCTGAAAATTTAACTTAAATTTTCGGAAAAGTTTCCCGCTAAACATTTATTGAAGTGGGATATTTATATCTTTACACAATTTTAACTAAACTTTGCATTTAAATATTTCGAAGCTTGCGAGTAAATCTTTAGTAAATTTTTAGGAAAGTTTCGGTGCTATGTAGGTAGTTAAACGTGACTAATTGAATCAATCAAAAACAATTGTATTGAAACATCAGTTATTTTCAACTAATTGTCAGAAAAAAATATTACTATTTGAATTAGTGACTGATTTTTTGCTTCTAAATCAGATATTCTTAACTGATTCAATAATTTAGAGTGTAAGATATAATATACATATTGTATATTGTCCAATGTATAAAATTTACAGTGAAATTTACGTGTGTGACGTGACGTAGGGGGGAGGGGGGGTTCAAGATTTGTGACGAAGTGTGACATAGGGGGAAAGAGGGGTTAAAAATGGTCAAAAATCGCGTGACGTATTATGTGTATGGCCCCCAAATGGAAGAAAAATTTTAACAAAAACTGAAAGTTCATCACAAATTCTTAATATTTTGTAAGTTTTTACGTAATTTTATAATCCCAATTCCCCATTATTTGTTAATAAAAATTCCCAAAATAGGTTACTTTTATTATGAACTTTGCGATAGTGTTTTATTTATTATTTTATATTTTATATGCTTATATCAATTTATAATAATAAATTTAGACATTCTTAACACATGCCAATGATTTTTATTATATTTTTGTACTAAATTGTATTTCAATTGAATTATTTTCTACTGACAGAAAACGAACAGTTTTCAGCATTTACAATATTTAAAATTCATATTTTACAAAAGATATAAAATTATTTTTAAAAAATCTTTTTATTTTGTAATTTTAGTAACATAAGTATCATTCCTGCCAAATATTACAATTTTTTAAAATTAGTCGGCGACCATTTTAGTTGAAATAAAAGGGATCATTCAAGTATTACGTAAGCATTTAAGGGGGAGGGGAGGTCTAGCTATTGCTTATTTCCATTAGAAATAATGGCGCTAATGCATATAAAAAATCTTACGATGGGTAAGGGGGGGGTCTAAAAACCTGAAAAATATGCTTACGTAATACTTGAATGGTTCTAATGGATCACCCTATATTAATATTTTTACTGATGAAAAATGTTCCAAAATTACATGATTTTTCAGAAACAATATTTGGTGCAGGTAAAAGTTTTTATAGTTATGTTTCGATTCACGTAACTTCGAAAAAGGGATGCTCCCTCACTACCTGTTATTACCTGATGTGCATGGGTCTACTTTTGCACTAGAATAAAGGCATCTCTTAATCGTTTTTCAGTCACACTTTTACGACTATTTATTTGGGACTACTGACCATTTAATGAAAAGTATGAGATTTTTCTTTTCTATTCAAGTTAGATGACTCAAAAAGTTTCTAGAATTTTGCTTTTTTTAATGTTAATAAATAATTCAAATAATGATAATATTTTTTCAAGTAATATTTCAAATACCATATTCAATTTTTTCAATATTATTTCAGGCATGTAGCTTAATTTTTGAAATACTTTCAATTTAAACAATTATTTAAAACGTTTTTTGCAAAAAATGTAATATACTTTTAATTTGATTTTTTCATTAAATAATTACCTCTGAGAGAAGTTCATTTCCATCCTTTAAAGAACCAAAGTATCCATTTAAATCCACCGATGGAGAAACATGTGAAACACTCTTCTCACTTTCCACAAACTCATATGGATGATAAGTTTTTTCTGCAATAGGAGATCTAGATTCCATATTTGATGTTGAAGAAATGCCATCTATAAAAATTGCAATAATTTTAATGCATTAATTTTCTCAGGTTTCGCACTCTTCTACTAAAATCTACTATTTACTACTTTTTTACATCATGCTACTATTTGGGTACTTTTTTTAGATTTCAGCAACTAAAAGCTATTATTTCTGTTTTTTTTTGTTTTGGAGAATTTACACTACTTTCGATTATTTTCAATATTTAGTATTTTCTTGAAATTTCGCAAAAGAATTCAATTATTTAAAAAAATGACAAAGTTAATCCAAAATCCAATTATTTAAATAATAAAATTTCCATAGGAATTCAGTTACATTAGAATAGAATTATCAAAGAAATCAATTGTTTAATAAAATTTTTATACAAACTTTTCACAATAATTCAATTACTTTCATTAATAATAACATTTTCTATGCGGAAATTACATTTAAAAAATAAACTTTTAATAAAATTCTAATACAAGAATTCAATTATTATTTTCATATAAATAATAAAACTCGTAGAAGAAATTCAATTAATTTTAATACAACTTTAAATTACCTAATAAAAAAATAACAAAATTTTTCAAAAAAATTCAATTCTTTTTAAACATTTAAAAACTTTTTTGCAACAATTCAATTATTTTTATAAATAATAAAATTCTTTATAGAAATTAAATTATTTTTAAAAATTTTAATGAAATTCTTAGCTACTATTAAATTATTTTCGCATAAATAATAAAATTCATCGCAGGACTTCAATTATTTTTAATATACAATGTTACAGAAATTGCTCAAAAAATGTAATTATTCTTTGAAATTTAATTTCAATTCTCAAAAATTCAATTATTTTGAGAAATTTTTATAAAATTCTTTGCAAAATTCAATTATTATCGTATATAAATAACAATATTCATCACAAGAAATCGTTCGCAAGAATTTAATTATTCTCAAAAATTTTAATAGAATTCTTTGTGAAATTCAATTACTTTTAAAAACTTTTCGCAATACAATGATTTTCAATATTTACTATTTTCATTTAATTTCCAAACAGAATTGAATTATTAAAAAAAATTGTTGTTAAAGTCTTCGTAAGAAATAAAGTATTTTTAAAAATAACAAAATTTTTCACAGACACTTAATTCTTTTGAACCATTTTAATAAAATTTTTCTCAATAATTTAATTATTTTCGTATAAATAATAAAATTCTTCTCGCAGAAATTTCATTAGTTTTGAAAATTTTAATACAATTCTTAGCATCTATTCAATTATTTTTATAAAGAATAAAATTTATCGCAGGATTTAAATCAATTTCAATACTACAATTTTACAGAAATTTGTCAAAAAATGTAGTTATTCTTAAACAATTAATTTCAATTCCTCTATAAGAAATCAATTATTTTAATTGCAATTTTAGTTAAATTCTTTTGAAAATTCCATTATTTTGAGGAATTTTAATATAATTTTTTTCAATAATCCAATTATTTTCAGAAATAATAAAATTATACTCAGATATTTAATTAGTTTTCGCATAAATAATTTTTCGAAATAATTCAATTATCTCGCATGAAATAAGAAAATTATTCCCAAAAATTCAATTAATTTGAGGCATTTTAATAAAATTATTTACAAAATTAAAATATTTTCACATATAAATAACAATATTCATCACAAGAATTCAATTATTTTTGAAAAGTAATAAATATTTCTTCTTGGAAATTCAATTATTTAAAAACATTCCTATAAAATCGTTCGCAAGAATTCAATTACTCTCAAAAATTTTAATAGACTTTTTTTGTAAAATTTAATTATTTTTAAAAACTTTTTGCAGTACAATAATTTTCAATGTTTACTATTTTCATAAAATTTACAAACAGAATTTAATTATTTAAAATTTTTTTTATAAAAATCTTGCTAAGAATTCAATTCTTTTCATTAATAATAAATATTTCTTAGGAATTCTATTATTTAAATTAGAATTTGCATAAAATTAGTCGAGAGAAATGTATTATTTAAATTTTTTTTAAAAATCCTTCGCAAAAACATATATGTATATATTTTTTGTAAATAATTTTTGATAGCTCCTTTTTTTAGTTTGAAAGCTACTTTTCGATACTTTTTTAAAATTAATTATCCAGTGCGAAGTCTGTTTTTTCAGAAATTCTTAATACATTGTATATTCTATAAAGTTTTGAATATTTTTCTATAATTTTTCTAAAATTTTATTGAATAAAAATTTTTTAAATTTAAAAAATCAAGGAAGCATACATAATTATGTATTATCTTTACAATAACTAATTTTATTATAATATAATATAAAGTACACTTACCTTGCCACAGCTGTTGCTTTGCCAATTCAACTAAATATTTGACTCGATTCATCCTTTACGAAACAATGTTGCACTGACAGAACTAATAGTGAAACAAGACTAAGTGCGAAATGATAATCCTCCTACGGTTAGGTAAAATAAGGTTCAAAAATTTCTTAATAATGGGGGTTGTACTTCTCTTAAATCTTTTTTCATTAGAATTACATAGTTGTTCTTACCTGGCCTTGTACAAAACAAATTTCTGCAAAAGGTTTGACATTATTTTCCTAGCATATGCATCTTTTGATATTCAAAATTTCACAAATAAATTGGTTTCTATATATGCTGAATATTTTTATCACTTTAGAAACAACGGAGAAATTGTTTATAAATATATAAAGAAATTTAGGAAATTTGGAATAAGTTAGAGTCTGCAATAAGTGATATTATTACGAAACAACATTCTAGGTTTCTTAGAGATAGATCTCTATATAAGTAATTTCTAAAACTATAAATCTACCTTAACTAAATTCTAATTAATTGTTTAAAAAGAAGCTAGCAAATTGACCAAAAAATGAAGGTAATATGCATTCAATTTGATTATTATATTATTTAATTTCAAAATATAAAATTATTTGTAAAACGTTAAAAGGAAAAAAAAGTATTAAAAAATTATTATAAAATCATTACAATTATTAAAAGCACATCTAATAAAAGAGAAAAAAAAATTATTTTGTTTGAAATGATTATAAGAATTTACTGTTAATAAAGTCTGAAAAGAGTAAATAACATTAACAAAAAAGTAATATTTTCCCAAAAAATAGAGTAACGTGGTAATAATTATAATATTTAATAAAAATATCAGTCATCTCATCCATAGGTGCCTCATGAAGAGTGTCATTGACTATATAAAGCACCGCCGAGTAAAACTCGAATTACTATTTTTGACAAAATTATTGTAACAAAATTTAAAGTGCATATCGCTGAAAATATGGCAACGTTGCGGGCTTGGTAACATCGGTAAAATGTACTGATTATATATAAACGGATCTGTAAGGACCGTTTAACCCATTAAAGCCCATGATTAGACAAATGAAAATATCATCAAAATTATTATTGGAAACAGGACTGCGGATCAAATAATGACTTTTGACGTCAAAAATTGTTTAAAAAATAATTTGTTTATAAAAATTGTTATAAACAAATGAAGAAAATTGATAAAATTTTAAAAACTAATAGCGCCATTCGATTCTACGTGAAAAATTACTAAAGGAACATGTATGACTTTTTAAAAATTTTCACTCGATTTGTTGTAAATAATTTATAAACAAATAGTGCACTCTCATGTACCTATTTGAGCCCATCATTGCACAACTGAACATTTCATCAAAATTATGATTGGAAACAGGACTGCGGATTAAATGATGACTTTTGACGTCAAAAATTGTTTAAAAAATAATTTGTTTATAAAAATTGTTATAAACAAATGAAGAAAATTGATAAAATTTTAAAAACTAATAGCGCCATTCGATTCTACGTGAAAAATTACTAAAGGAACATGTATGACTTTTTAAAAATTTTCACTCGATTTGTTGTAAATAATTTATAAACAAATAGTGCACTCTCATGTACCTATTTGAGCCCATCATTACACAACTAAACATTTCATCAAAATTATGATTGGAAACAGGACTGCGGATCAAATAATGACTTTTGACGTCAAAAATTGTTTGAAAAATAATTTGTTTATAAAAATTGTTATAAACAAATAGAGAAAATTAATAACATTTTTTCAACTTATAGTGCCATTTGATTCTAAGGGAAAAGACTACTAGAATATTTTTTAAATTTAAAAAATTATGAATCAACAAATTCTGCCTGCATTTGTTCGTATGAAATATTTAACCTTTAGAATTACTGTGACTGTTGTTCATTTGTTTATAACAATTTTTATAAACAAATTATTTTTTAAACAATTTTTAACGTCAAAAGTCATTATTTGATCCGCAGTCCTGTTTCCAATCATAATTTTGATGAAATGTTTAGTTGTGTAATGATGGGCTCAAATAGGTACATGAAAGTGCACTATTTGTTTATAAATTATTTACAACAAATCGAGTGAAAATTTTTAAAAAGTCATACATGTTCCTTCAGTTATTTTTCACGTAGAATCGAATGGCGCTATTAGTTTTTAAAATTTTATCAATTTTCTTCATTTGTTTATAACAATTTTTATAAACAAATTATTTTTTAAACAATTTTTGACGTCAAAAGTCATTATTTGATCCGCAGTCCTGTTGCCAATAATAATTTTGATGATATTTTCATTTGTCTAATCATAGGCATATAATGGGTTTAAGAAAGTACACGAAATATATAAGTGACTGATATACGTTGGGTCTGACAACGTAGTCTTCACATAGTGGGACTGACAAGGTTGATCAAATCATTATATATATATATATATATATTACAAAAAGATATCGCCGCCGACGTCAAAATTTGACAAAAAATATCCGCTACCCTCAAAATTTAGGTCAATTTTGAGGGCAGTTGTGACCTACGCATCAAAATTTGACAAAGAATTCCCGCTACCCTTAAAATTTAGGTCAATTTTTAGGGCAGTTTTGACCTAGACAACAAAATTTGACAAAAAATATCCGCTACCCTCAAAATTTAGGTCAATTTTGAGGGCAGTTTTGACCTACGCATCAAAATTTGACAAAGAATTCCCGCTACCCTAAAAATTTAGGTCAATTTTGAGGGCAGTTTTGACCTACGCATCAAAATTTTGACAAAGAATTCCCGCTAAAATTTAGGTCAAGTTTGAGGGCAGTTTTGACCTAGAGGTCTAAATTTGTCAAACAATTTCCGCGCGCAGACTTAATGATGAGGTAAAGTTTGCCATCTGACCTAACAATGTAAAGTAATTTTAAAATTGTGTTTGCTCTGTTTTACTCTGTTATTTAGTTACGTCATAATCTATGTGTAATTTGACTTTTATTTAACTACAACTTAAAAAGGGACAATAAAGGACAACAAACGTATCTATGATACGTCAAAACCTATTTAAAATTTAAAGTCTTTTTAACCTATAGGTTAAAATGGGTCAAAATATATGTCAAAGTTTAATTTAATTTTTGACATATACATAGATAAAAAAGGTCCATAACGATTGTTACATTGCGTCAAAATCTATGTGTATGTTGTCATATATGTAATTTATTAAGATGCATTCATATTAAGAAAAAATTACTTTAAATTTATAAAAATTAAAATAAATATAAAAATAGAGATAGGGGGTTGGCGCGCGAAGCGCGCAGGGGGGCGAAGCCCCCCTAGTATATATATATATATATATATATATATATATCTTTCTGTCTCCTTCTTTCTAGATACTAAATACCATTATCGGTCTCTGTTTATAACGCAGAAAATCTAACGCTATTGCTTTCTTCCTCTTTCGAAAGTAAATAACATTAGAATGTCTCTCTTTACCTAATTTGCATATCTACTGATTTCATATAAGGATACTTTTAATTAAAAATTCTTTGCAACTAATTTAAATAAAAATCTTTTCAAGATGAAAATGGCAATGGCGTTGTACAACAGCCGGCGGGTGGGAACATCAATAATGCCGGTAACGGCGCCGGCCCACAGCTGGGTGAGAATGCCGTTATTGCCGGAAATGATGTCGTCCAACAACCGCCGGGTGGGAACAATAATGCCGGTAACGGCGCCGGACAACAGCTGGGTGAGAATGCCGTTATTGCCGGCAATGATGTCGTCCAAAAACCGCCGGGTGGGAACAATAATGCCGGTAACGGCGCCGGCCCACAGCTGGGTGAGAACGCCGTTATTGCCGCTGACGTCGTCCAACAACCGCCGGGTGGGAACAATAATGCCGGTAACGGCGCCGGCCCACAGCTGGGTGAGAATGCCGTTATTGCCGGCAATGATGTCGTCCAACAACCGCCGAGTGGGAACAATAATGCCGGTAACGGCGCCGGACAACAGCTGGGTGAGAACGCCGTTATTGCCGCTGACGTCGTCCAACAACCGCCGGGTGGGAACAATAATACCGGTAACGGCGCCGGCCCACAGCTAAGTGAGAATGCCGTTATTGCCGGCAATGATGTCGTCCAACAATTGCCGGGTGGGAACAATAATGCCGGTAACGGCGCCGGACAACAGCTGGGTGAGAACGCCGTTATTGCCGCTGACGTCGTCCAACAGCCGCCGGGTGGGAACAATAATGCCGGTAATGAAGTAAACAGACGTGGTGATTATAATGTTTATTAAAATTTTATTACACATTTTTTGTATACTACTTTTTGTGTTTTATTTATTAAAAGTCAGGGATTTAAGTAAAAGTACTGGCAAACATTGAATTTTAAAAATTCACGAGGAAACTAAATTTTAATGTTTTTTTCTTTGCCTCGTAAACTATGAAATTACCATACGTATTTTAATACAAAACCTTGAATTTTTTCTATTTTAGACAATAATTTCTTTTTAAATAACATAAATTTACAAGAACTATCATAAAATTATGACTTATAAATTATTTAATGAATCATTTTTACAATTTTCATAAATACTAGATTGATAAAAGAATTTTAGTTAAAAATGCTGAAAATATGGAATTTTGAAAAAATTACAAATAATTTAAGGAATTCAATTATTTTCACGAGTAATAAAATTTTTCGCAGAAATTCAGTTATATTAAAAATTAAAAAAAATTCTGGTCATTTCAATTATATCTTTAAAATAATCAAATTCTTCACCAAAATTCAATTATGTTCAAAAATTTTAAAATTCTCGTCAAAACTTCAATTATCTTTATAAATAATACAATTCTTCTACGAAATTCAATTATTTTTTAAAACTTTAATAAAATTCTTGGCAAAATTTCACAGGACTTCAATAATTTACAAGATTTTTGATTAATTTCTTCGAAATAAATCAATTATTTTCATAAATAATAAAATTTTTCCAGGAATTAAATTATTTAATATAAAAATTTCAAAGAATTTTTTCGAAAAATATCAATTATTTAAAAAGAATTTTATGAAATTCGTCGCAAAAATTCAATTATTTAACAAAAAATTTAACAAAGTTCTTTTCAAGAATTTGTTTTAAATAATAAAATTTTTTTCAAAATTTAATTATTTTTAAAAACTTGAATAACATTCTTGTTAAAATTTTACAGGAATTTAATAATTTATAAAATTTTTAATAAATTTTTTTGAAATAATTTAATTATTTTCATAAACAATAAAATTTTCACACAAGTTCAATTATTTAATACACACTCTCTAAATCTCAATTATTAGAATTCTACTAAGAAATAGTAAAATTTGACTAATTTTTAGTAGTTTTCATGGACGACTTTTCCCCTTTTCAATTAGTAGAATATTACTAATTCTTAGTAAAATTTTACTAATGATTTAGTAGAAATTCACTAATTAAAAGTCACTCATTTCACTAAATGAATTAGTAAAACTGTTTTATCGACTATTAATAAAACAGTTCTACTAATTGTTAGTAGAAATCTACTGATCAATTAGTAAAATTCACTATTTGTTAGTAATATATCACTTAATCATTTGGTGGACGACTTTTCGCCATTTCATTAGTAACTTTCTACTAATTCAGATTTAGAGAGCAATATTCTTCGAAAAACACCAGTTGTTTGAAACTTTTTTATTTAATATTCTTCGCAATAATTCAATTATTTAAAAAAAAATTAACAAATTTCTTTTAAAGGATTTAATTATTTTCATAAATAATAAAATCCTTCACTGAAATTCAATTATTTTAGAAAATTTTTAATAATATTTTTGGGAAAAGTTTTAATTATTTTCATAAATAATAAAACTCATCGCAGGATTTTAATTAATTTTTGATACAATACTTTAATCAAATTCCTCGATAAATGTAATTATTCTTAAGAATTTCATTAAAATTTGTCAAAATAACTGAATTATTAAAAAAGTTGTTGATAAAACTCTTTATGAGAATTCAATTTTAACAAACATTCAATTATTCAATAAATTATTTATTTTCCAATTTAAATAATTGAATTCTTCTAGAATTTTCTAATAAAAATTGATTAAAAAATGAATTATCGTATAATCGATTTATCATTTATGAAAATAATTGAATTATTGCAACGAATTTTATTACAATTTTTTCAAATAATTGATTTTTTTTGAGAAAATTTACTACTTTATAAAAATAATTCAATTCTTGCGTTCAATTATTAATGATAAATATGCGAACTGTGAGACCTGTCAATGCATTGGTAATATGCGTGATACTTGTGGCATACTACGATTCACTACGATCATATTCTGAACGGCGGAACGAAAGGAACTGATTTGGATAAACGCGCGAAGTTTCAAAATGATGTGTAAATATAGTAAACATTGAAAAAAATTGCTTTCTTTGACTTAAGAGATATTACTAATAAAACATATCTTTTACCTTTAGAAAACGTTTTTTTACAACAATGTGATCAAAAATTAGAAATTTAGCAAAACTTTTTCGATTATTGAAATAAATGAATTTATTTAAATAAATATTATTTAAAGCTAAAAAAATCAGTATTTTACTTAGAAAAATAAATTGGAATAAAATATATTTTTAAACAATTTCAAGTAAAAAATAAATAACCTGAACAATTAATTTTGATTGAAAATCAGTTATTATTATATTTAGTAAAATAGATAGATAGATATAATTTTATTTGTATAAATATAAATATTGTTACAAAGGTTCCAGTCCATCCGACATTCAAGCGCATAAATGAATTAAATTCATACAGTTTTCACTCGTTTATTATAAATGATCGCAATTTTAAGGCCTTTAAGGTCTTTTTGCCTAGCACGCGGTTTTGTCGTCTGCTCTCTCGACTATGTGAAGTATCGCATCGATTCGTGCGTCGCGACATCAATAACACAGGCACACAAAAAAAAAAGTGTCGTGGCCGAGACACTACAGTAGTATATTCCCATGTATTTTTGGCCGCTGAATCCGAATCTGAAGTCCGAATGCTCAAATTGGTTCTTTTTTTTGAGTTATACTCAAAAAACGACTCAAAACACGAATTTGAACCAAAAAAATTAAAAAATTTTTTTGTGACATGACAATAGCATATTTCCATGTATTTTTTCCCGCTGAATCCGGATTCGAAGTCAGAATTGACAGATGTGCTCAAAATTATGAGCTAAACTCAAAAAACGACTCAAAAAACCGAATTAAAATGACGAAAATGAAAAATTTTTTCTGTGACATTGCAAAAGTATATTCCTATGTATTTTTTCACGCTGAATCCGAATTCGAAGTCAAAATTGACAGATTTGCTCAAAATTTTGAGATAAACTCAAAAAACCACTCAAAAAAAGACTCAAAAAACCGAATTAAGATGAAAAAATTTTTTTATGACACTACACTACTATATTCCCATGTACTTTTTCCCGCTGAATCCGAATTCGCAGTCAGAATTGACAGATTTGCTCAAAATTTTGAGATAAGCTTAAAGAACTGATAAAAAAAGCGATTTAAAATAAAGAAATGGAAATTTTTTGCTATGACACTACATTACAGTATTTCCATATCGGATCTCGCATTTAAAGTCAGAATTGACAGATTTATGACTGATTTGCTCAAAATTTTGAGATATACTCAAAAAACTGATAAAAATGTAATTTAATATGAATAAAGGAAATTTTTTGCTATGACACTACACTAGTGTATTCCCATGTATTTTTTCACTGTGATTCCAAAGTCAGAATTTTCAAAGTGGCTCAAAATTTTGAATTTCATTAAAAGTGCTCAAAAACATGCATGCTTGTACCTGTAACCAGGGTTTGAGTTCTAAAAAATTTTATGTCATTCTGATAATTCTAACTTCGAATTTGTATTCAGCGTATATAAAATTAATGAGAATACACTACCGAATACCAAAGAAATGAACTCTTTTGCATTAAATTAAATTTTGAGCATTTTTGGATTTAACTTAAAATTTTGAGCCAATTTAATAATTTTAACTTTGAATTTAGAAACAGATGTAAAAACATGAGAATATACTAATGTAGTGTACTAGCAAGAAAAGTAGAGTTTCTTGACTTTAATTTTTGTAACTTAACAGATTTTCTTGTGTGTCTCAAAATTTTGAGCCATTAGAATAATTCTGACTTCAAATGCGAGATCCGAGTGTAAAAATATATGAAAATACTGTAATGTAGTGTCATAGCAAAAAATTGCCATTTCTTTATTTTAAATCGCTTTTTTTATCAGTTCTTTGAGCTTATCTCAAAATTTTGAACAAATCTGTCAATTCTGACTGCGAATACGGATTCAGCGGGAAAAAGTACATGGGAATATAGTAGTGTAGTGTCATAAAAAATTTTTTTCATCTTAATTCGGTTTTTTGAGTCTTTTTTTGAGTGGTTTTTTGAGTTTATCTCAAAATTTTGAGCAAATCTGTCAATTTTGACTTCGAATTCGGATTCAGCATGCAAAAATACATAGGAATATACTTTTGCAATGTCACAGAAAAAATTTTTCATTTTCGTCATTTTAATTCGGTTTTTTGAGTCGTTTTTTGAGTTTAGCTTATAATTTTGAGCACATCTGTCAATTCTGACTTCGAATCCGGATTCAGCGGGAAAAAATACATGGAAATATGCTATTGTCATGTCACAAAAAAAATTTTTAATTTTTTTGGTTCAAATTCGTGTTTTGAGTCGTTTTTTGAGTATAACTCAAAAAAAGAACCAATTTGAGCATTCAGACTTCAGATTCGGATTCAGCGGCCAAAAATACATGGGAATATACTACTGTAGTGTCTCGGCCACGACACTTTTTTTTTGTGTGCCTGTGTAATCGATAGTTAATAATCGAACATCGAAGACTTGCATAGGCGTGTAGTCAATTTACGGAATTTTCAATTTACGGAAAAAGAAGACAATCAAGGTTTTGGTGCCCGGAGTAGAAGATTTGATAGAAGGGAATGCGTACAATAAAGTTGTAGTAAAAACTCGGTAGATGTCGACAATGCTATTTTTGAGAATTAAAAAGTTTCCGGAATCTGATTCCCTATCAAAATATTATAATTAAATAAAATAAACTCATATAAAAATACAATCAATCAATTAATTAGTTAATTAATTAATTAAACGTGATTATTACACTATGATTAATTATATAAATTGAAAATTGTTTCAATAATTAATTACAATTAATTTGATTAATTAGTAAATTATTAAATTACAATTAATTATAATTAATTAATT